CGAAAACAAACCCTATGCTTGCACGGTAACAGTCAAATACCCTTTTATGAGTAAAAGTTAACCCATTTTAAATAAAGTGGCTTTACTTATTAATGAGTAATTTATTTTAACAACAATGAGTTTCTGCTAACAGTAACTAACAGTTACTACTTAATTGGTATAATAAGTTACTCATTAATTAGTAGTGCCACTTATATTGACAATGGGTTCACTTTTACTCATAAATGGACGTTTGATTCTTACCGTGCACATGACAGTATACGCTAGTGTGTGTAAAATAATATTATTAGTATAGTGTTTGTGAGATCCTGCTTGGAGAACTCAATATACACAAATCAGTGCCAACATTTCAAGGAAGCGTAAATTCAGGGAAAACATGTCAGAAGGGTCTAACTCGAAACGTAAACAATTACTTGGATCGTCGGTTTTTTGAGAATGAAAACACACACTAACTAAATAATCTGACAGAACAATGCTTGTTCTATGAGCTGGTGTAGTGAGATTCCGTGAGCGTGTAGTCATTCAAGAGAAATCGACGTTCTAAGTTATTGTTTACGTTTCGAGATATACCCTTCTGACATGTTTCCCCTAAATTAATATGGACCAACAGGCAGCGTTGCCAGTATTCCAGATTTATCTGGATTTTCCAGATTTTTAGTCGTCTTGCCAGATACACAGACAGACCACGCATGTTTCCAGATTTTTCAAATATGTTCCAGATTTTCCCAGATTTTTTAACATGATGCTTTAAAAATATCACTGCAAATGATTTACCCTCTAATAAAAAAAAATCTAACTTGCTACTTTAATCAAAGATGAATACTAAGATGACATGTTTCCCCTAAATTAATATGGACCAACAGGTCTGTGCAATAAAAAGGGAGGAAAAAAGAAAAAAAGTGGCGTAATTGCTTTTGTAAACAATGGCTTTAGCCGTCGATTTCTCGCAAACAAAAGCCCACCCCTCTAAATTATTAATGCTAGCTGGGACAGGAAACATTCTTCTACCTGCTGGTGTCATTCATTTTCATGAGTGAGCTTTCATTCGCGAGAAATCGAAGACGAAAGTCATTGTTTACACTGAAATGTATAACACGGCAAAAGCAATAAATAGTGAAATAAAGTGAAATAGTGAAAAGCAACAGTACATTTTTTGCAAAACCATCGTCCAGAACAAAACAAAACAGCCAGCACACGGGCGGTCGTGTATTTTTACATTACAAGCAAACGGCGGAGATAGAGAATAGGAAAAATCTGGATCAACAATAGAAAAGGGCCCTTCAGCATTTGTAAACAAACCGTTCCAAAGCCCATTCCTCACAAATCGAAGCCCACCCACACAAACCAACACCATCATCGTGTAGATAGAAGTTTCCCCTATCCGATGATGGTGTTGGTTTGCGTGAGTGGCCTTCGCTTTGTGAGTAAAGGGCTTTGGAACGGTTTGTTTACAAATGCTGATGGGCCTTTTTCTATTGTTGATCCAGAAATGTCGTAGCCCATTATTTTTCAAACAGTTTATTGAAATTACATTTTAGCTGCAAGCTTGCGTTTGACAGTAAATTATTAACATCTAAGCTTATGAGTGGTTAGTGTTCGTTCTTATTTTATAATTCAATGCAATAAACATCCAATAAATGCTATAATTAGCCAGAAATCAGCAAAATTCCACATAACATTAATTTATGGTCTTGTCTGCTTCATTGTGTGCAAATGTTCTGTCGCCTGCAGAAAACAGTTTAGAAATGTCATGACATTTTTTCCGCTTGCCAGTTTGTGTTTGTGCGTCTTCTCTACACTCAAAAAAATATACGCATCAATCCTATGTGTGGAACTTTATAGATTGCTGCAATCGATGTTTCCAAGTATGATGTATAACGTTTTACACATAGGAAGGTTAATCACAAATCCATGTTGGTTCTATGTGTGCATATTATAGATTTTGTATACTGTAGAAGTAGAATCTATCAGATGTAACGAATGCACACTAATGATTTTTTCATTAGTGTTCATGTTAATCATTAATTAATTGAATCTATGAAACACGTCATAATTATATTTTAAGTAATTTAAATGTTATATGGCAAAAATATGATTCATAATTGTTATATGACTTAATGCATATTAGGTAATTTTCATTTGTTTTCATTTAAATAAGGAAACACGAGTAGGAGGAGTAACGTCTTCATAAATTCCTATTTTACTATTGTTTTGGAGTCAAATTAAATCCTTGTGCGTTCATTTTTTGCATGAAGTTGCATCATGTTTCAGAGCGTTTGAAAACCAAATGGGTCCTTGTAGTGCGGAAACTTTTTCGAAAGCATTAGTATAAAATTAGCGTTGCAAAGTAATTCTTTCCGTTTCGGAAATGTTTCAGACCATTTATCCAAAACAACACTCCATGGCTGCCTGTTCAGAAGTAGCCAATCCATAGCCTCATGAACGGCTGATGACTCTTGAACCGCATCTTCAATCCGTTTTTGCTTTGCCAGGAATGGATCTTCTGCTTTCTCTTGGATTCGCTTCTTCTGTTTCAAATTGGTAATCTTGTTGTAGAGTTTTCCGCTAGAATTCTTCTCACCATTGCGGGGAACAAAGTAATCCTCCTACAAATGTAAATAGGCATTTAATAAAAAAAAATAAACCCCACAATTGCAGGAATTACCTTTGTCTCGTGCTTAAGACAACATACGGTTGCATCCGCATAAGATTCCAGAATTTGTTCAATCGATTTAAGTCCGTGCTTGATGTGATGATCAGCAATAATTCCTGTTGGTTCATTTTGACTGGTTTCCGAGAGAGGACCCTTTTTCACTCTTTCCAGGATGACTTCTCCAGATAACGAAGTACTTAGCAATTTCTCCAGTAAAGCCGGATTGAAATGTTCCACTTCCTTGGTCACAACAACCGGTGGGCAGGTATATTCTTCTCTGATTGGTGTCTCGATGTTTACACGGGTTTCTTCTGTGGGTACCAGTTGTATGGATGGACTGAACACGGGGTTTACGCTTGAAGGAATTACTGTTGGTTCTGCAGGCACTTCTTCATCGACTGGATGACTTTTGTCATCTCCGTCCTGTGTGATCTGTTTTACGTCGATTGCTGGGTTGCAATTCTCACTTTCTCCAAGATCAGAAAATGTTTCGTTATCCACACATTCAATGACTTCAAAACTAAAGATTTCATATCCCTAGAAAATATTATTTTATTACAAAGATATAAATGTTGTATAATATTTTATAATTTACCTTTTGCGATCTCCATTGAAGTAGCCTTTGGAAGATTTCATCAAAATTCCAGTTGATGGATGATGTGGATAAGACTAATGTTCACTCGTCTAGAGTAACCGTTGATAATTCACTCACCGAAAGGTCGTATGCTGGTATCGAAAAAGAGTAAGAAATTCATGTTTCATTTGTGGGTTTGGAACTTATACTTTTCTTATGTTTTTCACGAATTACAGCTAATCCACGCAAATGAACAACACTGAGAGCAAAGGAGAATCGCCTTTTGCAGCTGATGTTCTTGATTTGGATAAAAAAAATTTGGATTTGCGTCGGTTATTGGCCAGCAAGTTCAGAGAATTCTTAACGACGAGGAAAAAGTGCGAGAAAATAATTGCATTTACCTTTGCACAGCTCCAAAAACTCAACAGGTTGTTCCAATTTGCCTAGAATAGCCGCTTCCAGCTCCTGCGGTCTCCATTCGTATATTGTATTGAAAATGGCTTCAGCCGATTCACTTGATGTTTCGTGCAATGAATGCCGGTTCAAGATTTCCTCCGCGGATATGGAAAACATTGACTCCAGATCTGTAAAAAAAAACAGCTGTATGCACTTCTATGTACTTGACCAGTTATTCATTTGATAATTACCTTCGAAAATATTGATTATTCCGGCGGGAACATTTAAAGTTTCAACGAACACCTTAGCAATGTCACACGATTCTGCCATTTTTTTCCACTTTTCTATAATTTAGGTACAGTTTCCTGTTCTGACTAGCACTGTATACAATATAAACATTGGTATTATGTGTAAACATGGTTAAATTATTGCAAAGCGCTTTTGATTAATAAACGTCATTGGATACCCCATTGCAAAATAAAAGGCGCATGATTGACTTGATAACCTGCGCACATTGGGCTTATGAGTGAGACTAATGGGAACTATATGCGGATAATAGTTTTTAATGGTGACCGAATAAAATCAATGAAGTGATGTTAACCGTTATCTTATGTGTATAATCTAATAAGAATAACGTTTAATATATTTCCAGTGTATGGTCATTGCGCAAAGTATCAAATGTTAAGGGAAAAACGTTAAACTCCAGTACTCGTGCCACCACTGGACTGAAAAGAACGTAAAAATGCGAGTAAATATTGTGCAGTACACGTTTAGTGCATATTCTACAAATAAATAATCGCTATTACGTAAAATACTAATAAGGGGAAATGGATGTAATGTCGGCCTAAATGCCCTAATTTGGCCCCATACATAAATTCAGCAATCGACAAAATTTTCAATAGCGACCAAAAATATCCATTAGTACCGCCCCAATGACTCGTTAATCTCGATAAAATTGATAAATAGCAGATTTTGAACGATGGGCCCAATCTTAGATCCATAGACCAACATTAGAGCCATTTCCCCTATTACACAAAATGTCGTTAATGCATTTCAATTCATCAATACGTATCCCCACGTACAACCAGTAATTAACTTGCTAAAAACTAGCGAAGTCAGCCATACTTATTAATAATTTTGTTATAAAGAAATATTTCCCTGACTTTGAATGAAATTCCCTGATTTTCCAGGTTTTTTTCAGGTAGTCGACACCCTGTTATTTCTGACATACACTTACAATGAATCAACTTTGACAGACACATGGTGGTTAACACAGTTCCAGACTACCCCCACCCCGTCTTGAGTTACGTAATATTTGAATGGGCCCTGAACGAACCACTCCAAGAACAAGTGGATTTGATGTGAAAAGGCTTTTATTAGCTACTGGTATTAATTATCAGAATATACATAAGGAAAAAAAATAGAATGTAATAGTAGTTAAGTATCAGGGTCAAAGATGATAAAATATACTGCTGCGAAAGGCATGGTGATTCAAGTTGAACGATTCGGAACCTTTACTTCCACTTCTTATTCTGTACACCGAATCTGAAACCGATAGCTCCCTTCCGGACAAAGCCCGAATTATCGGCAAAAACCCGCGACATCCTAACGAATGGGCACCACCCGAGCCGAAGGTTTAGATTGAACTTATCAGTGCTGCACTTCTGAATGGAGTAATCGCTATCTTTGTTAACCAGCTGCACATAGTAGCGACGTCGTAGTGTTGAAGTCTTCTTCTTCAACGGTGAACACAGCTTCAAGAATACGCCAATGTACGATTCCGCACAGTTCCGATTAGCTTTCACCCGCTCGACGTACAGACGCCAGGATCGTCCGCTGAAATCCTTAATCATGTGTGACTTGATTTGCAACATATCCGTGTTGCTCTGCTCCGGGAATTGCAGCTTCTCCAGTGGGATTCGTAGATATCCAACGGAATACTGCTCACTGTAAAATCAATACCATGACCATGACAATCTAATTTTAAAATTACCGAAGCAACTTACGAATCCGCTAACTTCGCAACGACACGATTGTGCTTATCATCCAGTTCGATCTTTTGCCTCTTGAGATCCAAGAAGTTCAACGTAAGAGCTTCACGTTCAACCATTATGTTCCACGGACGTATCCAAATACTAACCGACACCTCGTCGGACTCGGATATGAATCCTGGTTCTTTTAGTTTGTCCATTTCTATCAAATCGATATGACAGTTGGTAGATTGCGTATCTTGCATCACACGCAGGGTGTTCCGAAGGTCGGTGTTAAAAATTTCCACAAACAGTTGAAATGGCAGGCTGAAAGAAAATAACAGAGCCACACTGTTTTCACTGAAGGTACACTTGAGAGCGCTCTCGAGTACACCTTCAGTGAAAACATAGAGTGTGGCTCTACGGTGCGGAGCTTTTGCATTTTGATAGGAAGATTGATAGCATTAAACTTTCTATTTTACGATGGGTTAACTGAAAATTCAACTGGATTTTACGTTAGCATTCTACCTATTATTATAAAAAGCAATGAAAGCACCAAAAGGACGATCCATAACTGGCAGTAACTGCAAGTAGACTGCGTTGTAATACCTATGCTTCAACGACTGCTTCTGGGAAAAGTCAACGGTCAAATGTTTCCCCTTGAAAACACGAACTGTCCAGAATGTCTCGCTGCTATCGGACACGTCTGCACTGCTGATAAGATCGTACTTAGGATCTTCCAGGTAACGGGAAAAATTCTCCAGTACAATCAGAACCATTCGACACTGGGGGATCATCGAACTGAAATACAAAAATAATTAGAAAGTGTAGTTCTATCTACTAGGTTACTTACGACTTATAATCATGATAACCGATCGGCGGCGGACACAAGGCTTGAGAATTAGGAACCAGATCGGCAGCTTCTAGCTCAAGTTCCTCCTTCTTGGCAATAAATTCATGTTTGGCCATACCGTCGATCTTGCCCCGCAACTCCTCGAAGTGCCGTATCTTGTTCACCGGGGCTTCCTTCCTCAGTTTGCACAAACTCAGCTTCATATCCTTCCATTCAACAGTATCCGCTTTAGCTGTATTCATCAGCTGCTCCAATTGGAGATAAATCGTTTCCTCGGTCTTGCAAATCAGCTCCTCGTTGAACCTCGTTGTATCGACGACGACCTGGAACTTCTCCAGCACATCGCCCACATCATTCAGCTTCCCATTGGTATCCGTTCGCTTTTCACGATACACTACATCGAAATCGTCAATCTGATGCCGCTTGTGATCCGTTGCATTTAAGAAGCACCCGCTGCAGATGCGCGTTCCGCAAGTCAGGCAGAACAGATTCAGCTCCTGGTCGTGTTCCATGCAGCTATCGATCTTTCTCTTGACTTCCCCCACGCAAACCGGACACATTGTACGGGGCGTGAACGAAAGCCAAACGTCGAAACACTTCCAGCAGAAGAACTTCTGGCACTTGGTACAGCTTACCGGATTTTCCACTAATTCCTTGCACGAACTGCACTCTCCCTCTCCCTGCGATGGGGCCGGCAGCGTTGCGACGTTGGTTGGTTTTGATTCTTCAGCAGCTTCCACCGGAGACTCCATCTTGAAACGTTTGCTGCGACGTGTCGGTTGGGACATGACCTGTTGAACAACGGAACCGAAAATAGTTTACGTGTTTGAACACGAATCACGGAATGTACGCGAGCGATTGTCTAGGATTGCCTGGATGATTTTTCTTTGGAAAGATGAGGTCGGTCGTCGTCTTCACTACACTGAAACAAATCGACATGTACCGTTTACTGGATCCATCTTATAACATAGCAATGTCAGCAGATTTATTCATTCTATGTGATGATTGATAGATTCCATTGTATTATCACTTTAAAACTATGACTGCGATATGGAATGATTTCTATCGTAATTTCACATACTTTGTACTTGATAATACTTTGCTTCGAACGTGGTTAGCGATAGGTAAAAAGTATATGAATACTGTCTGATATATTTCATGGTGAAAAATTGTTGATATGTCATGTTGATATATGTGAGAACAGACATCTAGAAAGTAATGGAAAATCATATAAGTTTGCATTATTAGAAAATTCAGTACAATATACCTGTTTTCATGATGAATATTGCTCACTAAAAGATATATCTTATAAGATAATCATGTATATTTTATTGAAGTTGCTTTTAACGATTTTTGACGTTTGTTGATATGTCGCGTGTAAACAGACATGTAGAAACTATTGGACAGTCATTTAACTTTGCAGTATAGGAAAACATGTATATCTCATATCTCATTGGAATAGCTTCCTTTGATTTTTGAGGTTTAAAGATTGTAAACAGATTTATCCCAATCATTATATAGTCATATAGATTTGCCTTTTAAGAAATCCAACAGCAAACATTTGTTTTGGCATGTTTTTCTGGGATGAATATCGCTCAAAATAAAATACATCTTACATGATTGCTCTTCATAAATTATTGAAACAACTTTCAACGATGTTATCGTACACTCATTAAAATGATTAGTTGATATTGTTGATATTGTAAATATTGCTAACAACATTGTTTCATAAGATAAGGGGTTCCGGAAAAGAATGTATTGAGACTGAAAAAAAAATTATTCTACTGCAATATTTACTTTGCTGTGATTCTAATTGTAAGCCTTCTATACGGCTAATTAAGATTCCAGCCCTAGTACTCGAACTTCATGAACCAGTTCCATCAACTCATATAATTTAGTCGTTGTTTTATTGCACACAGGCGCATTAAGAAAGATTTGAACAAACGACACCACCGAAACGGAACATAAATTTGTCAGTGCTATTTGCCTTCACTCTAGCAAAACGAGCATAAAGTTGCACTACATTCCATGTCGGGAGAGCTGTTCTTACTTCATGCTAATTGAACGAGCTCAATCTTGAAGTCAGCCGTGGCCCAGTGGAATCGAGCGCAAACATCGAAAGCATCACACTTCAACAGTTCTTGATCGAATCCCAAATCAGCTACAATAAAAAAAAGACACAACTGTGAAAGCTCCCACTGCCTGATGTTTATTTTTCGATTTATTTTTAGAAATCGATTAAATATATGTGTCAAAAGAAGAAGTAAATTTCATGTGATTTTCACATAAACTTTACTTCGATTGATTTATGACACATATATTATATTGTGGTGAAACGTAAAGCTTATGCTTATGGGTTTCAAATCCATTTCAGTTAATTATTATAATTTGACTGATTTTCATTTATCATATGACGATCACATAAAAGTTACCAAATTATCAGCATTGTAAATGTATCAGATATTCATATAGAATTTACCTGACACATTTTCAATAATATTATTTTCAATGGATTATCTTATAGCGCAAATTTATTAGATTTCCACATAACAGGAATATGTCAAATTGGTTCAGTGTAGAGTCGGTGTATAATGAGTCACGCCAAGAGTGAAGCCAACTTTAAGTCTACCTATTGAACTGTCAAACCGGCTACCTATCGCGCAAAGTACACAAACATTACGATGCTATGAAAGATCCACGAAAGGTATTGCAATAAAATATAAAATATAATTGAAGAAATGATCATAAACACGCAGTGAGCAATAAATTGTCATGGGATACGTGTGGTAATGATCACTTATGAGAATTTCTACTATTTTTGGTTAGGATAATTTGACTAAATCACTGATATTATGATTTACTAAAGCCGCTATATTTTTTTCTCGCTGGAAGTCATTTGAAGTTGATGTAGAGTTCAACTGTTTTTCTCTTGGCGTGACTCACACGGTTATCACAACAAACTCTCTTATGACTATAAAGTACACTCTTTCTTTGGAAAATGGGACTACCCAATAAAGGAGTATACTGTTTTTACTCTCTTTTGCGTAAATTGAATGTACGTTAGAATCTGCATACTTTTTACACCACATAGTAAACTTAAAAATGCGTAGTTTTGACACCCCGAACAAAGTATAAATGCGTAATTTATACTCCCACATGTATAGTTAAATGCATAGTTTTTACAATGAAAAAAAAATAATACCTACGATAAAACAAATTTCAAATATTGAATAAAAATGCACAAGAATTTTAACAGTAATATTTATTTATTTATTTATTTAATTAAATGTATAAATCCTTTCTAGATTTAATTAGCATCAATCGTCTCACGCATTTGATTACAAAGTTTATTAACTGAGAGTCGTGAACTGCTCATTTTTACTTTATAGCTAAGTATTTCAACTAATTCAGTCAGCTTTATCAATGTAGCTGGTACCTTGTAGTTAAAAACACTGAAAATTTTTACAAATGTATCTACTGCTTGGACTGAACTAGTACCCAAGGAAAAAATATGGCCCTCAATGAACATCATGTAGACGTTTCCCTGGTTAACAATGTGGGGAGGCACCGGCGCATTATGCAGAACTGTGTACGCTGCATATTTTCCCATTTGTATAGCTAACGCCGAAGGGGATTCCTATTGATAAAAAGGTAACGATATTAATTTTGCAAAATAGCAAAATATTAAAAATACTTACACCAATCCATCGAATCAGCGGTGCTGCCAACTAACTCCTCCTCGATTCCCAATGGCATCACATTTGGCGGTTTTCTAACGCCTTTTCTGGACAGTTGTCCCATGATTCGGAGGCATCCGCGGACGTGATCTACATTTTACCAATACATTTTGAAAATGATGATCGAAGAATATTTCAAAAAGTAGAAGTAAACAAAATAATGACCCTTTGTAGAACCTTAATTGAACTACATTATCGTCTACAGCGAGATTTTTAGCACTTAGAAATTTCTTTAAGAGACTGAAAACAAAACGCTGATAGATGCTCAACATATTAATGGAATGTTCCATAAATAACTTGATTTTGGTTTCAGTAAGTGAAACATCAGATCGAACTGCAGTGATGAAAGCTGAAGCGATTCCCATCAGCCCTTCTCGTGAAATGGATTCCGTAAAATAATGAGGATTCGTTATTCCTTCCTTAGGCAGGGAAACCACTACGTCTTCAGTTTCCGTTTCCATCGCTTCCGGAGGATTAGTGAACTCCAATTTTGGCGGTGTGAGGGGCTGATGGTGGTTCACTATGTGATCTTTGGGCCGTTTGAAGCACGTAAAAATAGTACCACAATCGCCACACCGAAAAGGAACTGCATTCTTTGAGCTGGTCTTCATCTTGTGGTATTTTTTAATGTGTGTTCTCAATTGTTGCACACAACCTGATATGCGTAAATTGCATCCGGCCACAGGGCAGGGGAGACCTTTTTTATTTGGTTAAAATTTGCTTGACCATAAAAGTAAATGCTTTAATTACCTGCCAGTGTCGTGAATACGTCCTGTTCTAAAGTTTTTGATAGTTCCTCCATTTTCCGCTGACACTTCCACAAATATAATCCGGGAACTGAATTAAAACACTGCTTTTCCAATGAAAGCTGTTTGGAAAATGGCGGCATGTCACGGCGTCGAGCGCGGCGTAAATTTTCTTTTCTCAGCGGGAATACTTTTTACACATTTGTGTAAAACATAGTCATAAAAGGAGTATTCTAGAATTACCGTGCATTATACACCGACTCTAGTCTTCCCACCGATCCTCCGCTGATTTTTTTTCATATGAGTGGTACTAGATTGAAATACACTGAGCTAAATCTGAAGCTAAATCTGTTTGTCGTTGACGGCCGAAAAATCCATCTCAAATTTGAGTCAACAATCAATACGAAACTAATTATTTTAAATGGATTTATGACCATCAACCCGGGGGCAACTTGACAAGTCCAGTACATTTCCAGTGTACTCCGAAAATTTGGTGCTGGTGGTTCTGTCAAACTCACAAATTTCAGAAGTGTTATCTGAATAGGGCGAATGCAGATATGTAAACAAAGTAAATAAAATACTGAACATAAAAACGATGACCATATAGGCCATATAGGTAACTCTAATACGGTACTATCATAGAGGTAACTCTAAGACCACTGGGTCCCGAAGAAAATCATTATTATTTTTGGCTCACTCAGTACCAGAACAACGGTCCCAAGCAGTCCCAAGCTATTAAACTCACCCCTGCATGTTCTGCATGAATCCACACACCCCTGATGTTATCTGTCAAACTTTCATAGCGAATCAAAACAAACATAGTGTAGTAATAGAATTTCAACTAGAATAGGGTACGTTAATCGTTTGCTTGGGACCAATAGGCTACTAAAGTGGTGAGCCAATTTAAAATCGTTAGTTTCGTATTGATTGTTGGTACTATCCAGCTTTCCATGCTCGGTAATGGCGGCCTGTTTGTACACACAAAAAACAAAAAAATGTTTTAATAAAAATAATGCCATTTCAAATTAAAAGTTTCCTAAATTTCGTAATTTTAACAACGAAAATATTCAAAATAAAAGTTAATTTTTTGGTTTGAAAGTGTTTCTTTCAGGTTCGACTTGTAATTTTAAAAGTGCATTTTTTTTAAATGAAAGTTGTTCAACTGTCAAAAATACATTTTCTAGGTAAAGTTTTTGGCAGCACTGGACCTCGTTTTGCCGCTTAATTTGGCTTGACGTCAGATGAGTCACGAAGAGCGAGGAAAAGTGGGGAATGACAATAATTTTCCTCCATGGAAAATAATAATCGCATCAGGTAAGCGATCAAATTTAAGAACAATAGTAGAGTTTAATTAGAGATTTTTATTAATTTCAGATAAACCGAAACAATAGTCATCTGCGAGCGGACGAGATGGCTAGGAATGAAAGTGAGTGTTCGACGACTACTACAACAGTAGATGTTAAAGGTATATAACAATATTTAATTAATATTCCACAGAAACCCTCACCGAAAACGGTCTAATTTGATACCTTCCTTCCGCTATCCACTGCCGTAAAATCTCCACCGGTAAACAATGACGCTGCTGACAATGCTGCAATGTGACATCACCATGTACCTGTTACTGTAGCAGGTTTACTCAATGCGAGAATAGCTCCAAGACGCAATAACGTAAACATAAACAAAGATAACAATAACAATGTAAAAAAAATGGATCTTATCCTATTGAAAAATAATATATATATATATATATATATATATATATATATATATATATATATATATATATAATATAATATTTATCCACTAAAATTAAAACCAAAATATTTTTTTTTGCCAAATAAATATTTTTTTTAATATTTTAGTTTAAATTCAAAATGCCCATTTAATTTTAACTATGCCACATTTTCAAGTCAAGAATAATCCACCATTAATTTCAACACTAGTATATTTTTCATTTGACAGTTCTACAATTCATTTTGAAAATTTGAACTTTTAAAAGTATCGAGTGGACAACTTTTGAATTGACGGTTGGTTGACTTTTATTTTGAAAGCTAACCGCTTTCTACCAAAAAGAACCAATGCAAACTTTTAAATCTACCAATGGTTTTTTTAAATTTTATAAACGACTTTTCTTTGTGTGTATGAATAAATGTATCCTTCACTGTGCTTTTTGACACTATCTGGATGTTCGAATTTCAACCCCTTCCCTTTCCCTCTCCCAGGAACAGAAGAAAATAGAACAACATACGCCCTCAAGTTAGTGTCAAAAAGCACAGTGAAGGATACATTTATTCATACAAACAGGCCGCCATTACCGAGCATGGAAAGCTGGATAGAATTTCGACTAGAACGGGATACGTTAACCGTTTGCTTGGGACCAATAGGTTAGTCAAGTAGTGAGCCAATTTAAAATCGTTAGTTTCGTATTGATTGTTGTTGACTGGGTCCCGAAGAAAATCATTATTATTTTTGGCTCACTCAGTACCAGAACAACGGTCCCAAGCAGTCCCAAGCTATTTCACTCACCCCTGCATGTTCTGCATGAATCCACACACCCCTGATGTTATCTGTCAAACTTTCATAGCGAATCAAAACAAACATAGTGTAGTAATAGAATTTCAACTAGAATAGGGTACGTTAATCGTTTGCTTGGGACCAATAGGCTACTAAAGTGGTGAGCCAATTTAAAATCGTTAGTTTCGTATTGATTGTTGATACAACCATAGAGGTAACTCTAAGACCACTGGGTCCCGAAGAACATCATTATTATTTTTGGCTCACTCAGTACCAGAACAACGGTCCCAAGAAGTTTCAAGCTATTTCACTCACCCCTACATGTTCTGCATGAATCCACACACCCCTGATGTTATCTGTCAAACTTTCATAGCGAATCAAAACAAACATAGTGTAGTAATAGAATTTCAACTAGAATAGGGTACGTTAATCGTTTGCTTGGGACCAATAGGCTACTAAAGTGGTGAGCCAATTTAAAATCGTTAGTTTCGTATTGATTGTTGGTACAACCATAGAGGTAACTCTAAGACCACTGGGTCCCGAAGAAAATCATTATTATTTTTGGCTCACTCAGTACCAGAACAACGGTCCCAAGCAGTCCCAAGCTATTTCACTCACCCCTGCATGTTCTGCATGAATCCACACACCCCTGATGTTATCTGTCAAACTTTCATAGCGAATCAAAACAAACATAGTGTAGTAATAGAATTTCAACTAGAATAGGGTACGTTAATCGTTTGCTTGGGACCAATAGGCTACTAAAGTGGTGAGCCAATTTAAAATCGTTAGTTTCGTATTGATTGTTGGTACAACCGAGGGGCGCTAAGATGTTGATATTTGCTAATTCAAACACATTTATTTAAAATAGATCCAGTGCTCAAAAATTGATAAAATTAAGGATATCGGTTCTATTTGACATGCAGATTACGAATATTCAATAGCCTCAATACCCCTAGAGAACCCAATTTGTGGTTGAATTAAATGTTAAGAATCAAGAAGCACGCCGGAATAACAAAAAAGCTATTCCCAAAATAAATTTCCTTTAAAAATTCTTATATTCGCATTTTATACATTTGGCCGGATAAAGCATTTTTATGATAAGCTTGTATTTTCTCTTTTTATACCGAGCTATGCGTCGGTCAGGAGATTTGCGATTTAGCGTAACTTTTAATCTATTTAGTTTGGTTGCATCATTCAAACCGATGGACTTAAGTTGTTATGAATTTCAATGACCCATCTCGAACTAATCTAGTACCGCACTGTTGCTCAATTTTTCACCTGTTCCTTTGTTCCTGCTTCTTGTGTCGTCTGTCAGTGTCACAAGAGAACAAAAAAAAAAAAGGATTAACGTTTTGTTTTTTCTCGCGTTTTCTCCTCTTGGCTGGTCGTACGTTTTGTATCCACAGCCAAGGAAAAAGTTTGAACTATTTTTCGCATTTTTTGGAGCCAAAACCATCCGGAAAACATCCTGTAAGCGGACCACCGTAATGTTCACCAGCGAAGAAATCCCGCGGGGGATAAATTTCCTTGACCTTCCGGACTGTATGATCGAGCAGTTCTTCGAGTTCCTCAGCTACGACGAAATTGCCAAAAAGCGAATTGTGGGTCAGGTTCTTTTTTAAACACTACCCAGCTTCTAATCCAATCCGATGTTTATGATTCTTTTTAGATTTGCAAAAAGATCGACCGCGTTTGCCAATCGTTGCTGAATCGAGGTTTCATGAAGATGATCAAAAGGCACAATGCCAACCTGAAGGCCATCAAGTCGCAGCTGCCGAGACGGGAGTCGGAGCGAAGGAATCACCCGCTAGCGAAACATTCGGACATACTGACCTGTATCGAGACGAGGATTTCAATGTTATCGATGACATATTCCAAGTACATTGATAAGGATCTGTGCTGCTTCATTCCGGGGAAGGTGATAGACGAGGTGTTCAACATACTGAAGTTGATCGAGAGCACTTCGAAGCCGTTGAGAGCTCACGAGGTTTTGCAGGAACTGAGGGACATTTCTTCGATGGCGATCGAACATTTCGACGAGAATATTGCTCACAGACTGAAGCGAATCATGGGAGTGCACCACCCGAGTGGAAGCCACCTCCCGTTTCCCACTCCCGGATTCATCCAGAACGAGGTTGTACTGCCCTGTGATGTAAACGGGGAAAAATTGATTCTCCCCACATTGACTCCAATTTCACCGCATAAAGCTTCCCCGCAGCAGCTATACTGTCACCAAAGCTCATCGGCTTGCAGTGCAAGTCGAATCAACAATGCTTCGATTGCCCGGATTACCAACAAATCCCGCAAGATGAGGCTCACCATCAACAAGCTGGTTGGGGCCATGCAAAGCTCGAAGACTCTGATGAAGCAAATGCGTACGCAAATCATGCGCAACTGCGTCGAAATCAAAGATCTTCGCCGTCGTCTCGAGGAGTCGGAAACCAAAAACCGCGAACTGATTGCCAACATAAATCAGCTCGCCTTCGGGGTGCCCTCGAGTTCGGAGCTGGCTTCCGGACCGTCGGCATCGTCATCCAAGACGACAAGTCGGGCGGTTGCTGCTCGTAATATCCAACCTCGGTCGGCGACAATTATACTGAAACGGGTTCTGGCAAACGCAGAAGATCATAACGTTCCGGTGGCTTCCAGTTCTACAGCGTCTCCGGGGGAAGGCGACGAACCAACGCCGGGAAGTTCCAAGCGAACCAGACTCGGCCAGGATTAACTGAAGCTATACTAATCTCTCTCTCTATTATATTGCATAACCCCTTGATGAATTTACGGTACGTAGCAAACATGGAACTCAACCTTTTTTTTTTTCGTTGTGCCGTTTCAGTTTTATGTTCCTCCTGTCGGTTAGTTTTCTTTTGAAGTTCTAGAATTTAGTGAGCATCGTATACTGCGCAATTCGAAGGTCGACTCAATTACGATTAAATTTAGAGAAACTAGTGTAAACTATAATAATTATACCTAACCGTTAGTGAGATAGTGAGATCTGCTAAGAGATAGAACGAGTTGGAGATACTCAGAAACGCATCGAGACTGGATGTGTTAGTTGAACTCTAACCAAGAAGCGCTAAATTACTAAATACGCACCTGCTGTCCGTGAATTCACTATTTCTTTTCTTGTCATACTGAATGTTGTTTCACCGCGCGTAATACTGCATAAGAAATATACATACCTTCATCAAATATACCAATCTTAAAAAGGCTTGTGGATATTTACAGAAAGAAACAACCCGATTGTTTGCGTTCGGTCCAATGGCGTTCGGTCTGCTTAAAAAGTCTAATGTTGTGTCCCAAGCACGACCGCATTATTGACGTAGGACTAAGGGATTGATTTTTGATTAGCATTACAAAATTGATTGATTGATTGATTTATCTTTATTAGGATTACAAAATTATTGGTTTACAAATTTTATTCTAAAACAAACAAACATTCAATTCAAAGTTTTGAAATAGGGCGATATTTTTTTTTAAGAGCCGACAGGGCCGCACTCGGCACCACACTTTAAATTTAAGAAGTGACATGTACACTGCGGCAAAGAAAATACGAATTCCATAAGAATCACTTATGAATTTTAGCCCAAGAAATCGATATGAATTTCAAAAATTTTCCCAATGAAAAATAATAAAACTGAGCAGACTGGAACCGAACTATGGCCGTTGATATTACGGGTCCTGTGTTTGGACCACTCGTCTTTCAACGTTTGGGAAAATGGAATGGCTAATGGCGTAGAAGAGCTACCTCATGTTAGACGAAAAACTTTTATAAGTCATACTTATGAAATTCATATGTGTGACTTATGTTCATAAGTCGAGCCTTATGAAATTCGTAAGTCTATTTGCCTCAGTGTAGTAATCGTTTGAGTTGGGCCGGTTTATTCGTTGATCTTCGCTGTCGGCTTGATAACTAACTTTTAACTTCAGTAACTTCTTCTGAGTCAAAGCCAAAAGAATCTTCTGATGATGCCTGCACTGCGCCTGATCTTGACAGTTGCCATCGAATGCTTTATTTGGTTCAGCCTCAAGCTCAACAGCCTTCTTAAGATGCTATACGATTTTCCGTTATGAGGGTCTTCAACTGTTACACGAGGGCCAGATCGTGAGATAACTATATACTGCTTTGGATTGAAGGTCGTGTAAAGTTGCATTAGAACAGTATCACCCGAATCGATAGAAGATCTTCTAGAAGGCAAAGAACAAAAAGTTTGGATTTCCCATAGTAATTCCCATACAAACTTCAAATGCTTTGTGCACAATCAGTTTCTAACCAAACAAGCTCAAATTTAATCATGATGACCCGATTTAAATCCGTTAATGCACTGTGGATCGAAAATTATCAAATTTTGCATCACTCTAATATCCATTAAAGACAGCTTGGCGCCTAGTAAAGCCAAATCGAAATCTTCTATAAATCATACTTACTGATAACGCTACTCTCGCTAGCCATTATTAGTGACACCTTAAAGTCAATATCAGTAGCTTCTTGGGAATTATTCGTATCACCTGTGCCCATACCATGCACTGAACACGCTTAATCGATAACATCAGGTACCTACCCACTTGAGCCAATATGTGATACCCACAACGTGACTCGTCAAACGCACAGTTGTTCAATAGATACAGGACCAAGTGAGACTCATCGAGAGTTGCTCACTCGGAAGTGGTTTATTTGATCAATTGCAATTGTATTGTTTGTGTGTATAACTTATTAATAGATTACGCATGCAGCCACGTCGTCACTCGTTGCATGTCGCTATATAGCTAGCACACGCTTTTATCATCGTACAACTCTTTTTAAACATCTATAAAATGTGACAGATTTTTGCTTGCCTAAGTGGGTTTATGATTCACTACTTGCAGTAGACATACACACGTATAATCTTTGTCAATAATAAGTGATAAATTATACTGCTGCCTTCTATAGTGGAGAAGAGGACTTTCATCGTCCTAATTCAGATTCACGGTTATCTTTTCAAAGCATGCGGTTTCCTCGATTTTGGTTGTTGTTGCTTAATGTTACCATATTACATGTTTTTTTTTAGAATAAGAGATTATCTTAATTGCTCTGTGAGAAAACCCTTCTCGATGATGCAACCGGAACATAAGAAACTTACTGGTAAAAACAATTGCTTGAACGTGGAATACTTCTCTTTTCACTCAGGTATTGATATTTTTGTTCCGATGAGGGGCCACCACGTGGAGAAGTGGGAGATTGCCGAAGAATCTACGATCGATAGGCAGCCAGCTGTTGGTCAATCGGTAGGATCCCCAGTATGCTGCCGGTAAACGGGAGGACAACCTTGCAGTTGAAGTACCACTGGAGCATGAACAAGCTAAACAGGAATACGTCTGTAAGGGGAAGAAAGAAAGTTGGTTAGTTGATGGCATTTAATACTAATACAGTACCACAGACAAACAGACGAAACTCTTTAAATAAATTTGCCTTAAATAAATCGTCACGGAAGTATAGCAACACCTCGTGAGTTATTCGCAGAAAAATCTTGCTTTCCATGTCTCAAACAATGTTGCATACAAGTTCGATAGAATGTATAGAAACGTCAAAGTAATCCGATGCCAGTGCTGTGGTGGGAGATTCGCGCAACTAATAGTATTTAAATTGAACGTTAAATGCATGTACGACGATTGAGGAGAAAGATATACGTCTGTTTGTCTGTGACAGTAGTTTCACTAGTTGTCGCCCGGAAGATTTAATCTGTCACTAATATGTGTGTGCCAAATTTAAGTGAATTTAGATATTGCACATTTTGCCCCCAATTCGACTCTCAGCAAAAAAATTTTGTTCCACCACAAAATGTTTTTTTTTTTTTTTTTTTTGTAGTGATCCAGTAGCAGCACTTGCTTAAACTCTACACCGGACCCCTTTTATTGATAAATTTTGTTTCTATGAGCCTCTATTTTAAATCAACACACAGACGTTCCTAGGCTATGGTGCCCGTTTGGTCACTGTTGTTTTTGTGCTGATCCAAATAGTTTTAATAATATAATTGCGCATTCTTTTTTTTTTTCAAGTTTGATTTTGTCCCAGTCTTGTCTTCTGTCGTCACTTATTTTGTCATTTTGTCTTGTGTATTAACCCCCACTTGTCTTGTTTATTGTGTCAACTTGTGTCTATTGTCCTTCCCCATCTGTTACTCTGTCATGACTAATTTCATTGATATATAAAAATAGTAATATCAATTACAGGATAATATGGTTATTTCTCGATTACTTTTTCAAAGGGAAGCACCAGCTCCTGCAAACAATGCATCCGATCGTCGATCCGGCGCAACCGGCAGCTCGCACATGCTTATCAACACCACCAGCAGGTAGATGAAAATTTCCCCTATCTGATGATAGTACCAGCCCGCGTGGGCGAGCCACCAGTTAAGCCAAATCAACGACCAAACGCACCGCCTACAAAAGCCGATACGCTCCCTTGAAAAAGTTATCGAGATTTCTACTAATTAATGAATTATTGACAATTACCTCTCATGATCCTTGGCTCCACTATGATTTTAACTTACCACTTTTTGATTATTTATCAAATACCTCTCCCAGAATATATAACTCCCCGATGCCTTGTTGGTTTCTGGTCTCATTTGGATTGGTCCTGAATTTGTTTGACATCCTGTTCGAAGTAATTCTTTGAGTTCCAGCTTGTACGTGTCTCACGTCATATGATTCGCCATTCATAAAGATAATGGGTTAAAAGGGAGTAAAACATACATAAAGGTAGATTAGTATTAGTTGTACTTGATCCAAACAATAGAAAGAAGCATAGATGACTTAGTAGAAAAATAAAACTAATAAATAACTAAAAGTGCAATGGATAAGTGTTAGTTCCGGGATCATTTTAGTGTTAGTAGTTATGTTAGTTTTGATCCGTATTCAGCCCTGCTGGCCCCTCAAGCATTATTTGCAGCAATTGTGATAAGATTATGCGACACTGCTACTACTACTATGTTAGATGTATGACTTGTCAATTTTCGCAACGCAATGTCTTTCAATAAATCACTCAATCAATTTGATGTTTGAAAATTTGCTCAAAAGGGCTTTGTTGACACATCATACCTTACCGAAAACTAAAGCACAACAATCCTAATTCTTATTTCAAACCTATCAACATATTTAACACATCTTTTCTAAAACTTCACTTGTTCGTAAGCGCCTGGTTGAAGATATGACTTTCGCTATTGACATTGTCTGTAATTAACAAATACACTAAATAGGAAGATTTATTATACAACTTCATAGGCTAGTCGCCTCCCTAAGCGGACCCCCCGCGTCCTATGTCTTATGTTAATTAACTTTCTGAATTCTATAATTGAAGTTTATTTAATAAATAACTGAAATCTCTAATCTACCTACACAATCATAACCCACACACAGAGATTATTTTACTGGGGTCAGTAATTTTTTACTGGGTTTTCAAACAGCTGAAAAAGTCAGTAAACTGAAAATAACGGTCACACGTAATGCAACGAACAATTTTAACATATTTTATTTTTATCATCAAATAAATGTAATAAGAACACAGTCTGTATAAATTTCAAGAAAAAATCACTCTTATACAATTTTTTACAATTTTTTTAAGTTTACTGACTTTTTCAGCTGTTCAAAAACCCAGTAAAAAATTACCGAACAGGGAGGCCGTGATTTTGTGTGCATGCTTTTAAACTACAATTTAACGTGTTTCAAGTACTTCTGGCTTTTACATATATTAATTATATCTTTGTTCGTCCCAGGTGACACCTTCAAATGACTAAAATCATAGAGGTAACTCTAAGACCACTTTGTCCCGAAGAAAATCATTATTATTTTTGGCTCACTCAGTACCAGAACAACGGTCCCAAGCAGTCCCAAGCTATTTCACTCACCCCTGCATGTTCTGCATGAATCCACACACCCCTGATGTTATCTGTCAAACTTTCATAGCGAATCAAAACAAACATAGTGTAGTAATAGAATTTCAACTAGAATAGGGTACGTTAATCGTTTGCTTGGGACCAATAGGCTACTAAAGTGGTGAACCAATTTAAAATCGTTAGTTTCGTATTGATTGTTGCTAAAATGCTTCACTTTGAAGTTAGTTTCCAAGCTAATTTTAAATTGTATATTGTATAGGGTAAATGTTCCAACTACGCTCTCACGCTTCCACTATGTGGCACCACAGAAATACATATGGGTATGTCACAATAGAAGCACACCACAGTGGAAATCCCGAGCCATAGTTCAAACACTTATCCCAAATCAAAATGAAGCACATATAAGATTAGTTACAATACCATGTACAAAAATGATGTTTAACATTGTTTCCTGAGTAATAATTCAATGAAAACAACAATGAAAGCTTGTCACGCAAATAGAAGGAGCACTGTTGGGCACTTTCTGAAATATTTCAATAGTATAATTCCCTTGCAAACCCAAATGAATCTATCTGCGTAAAAATAAATAAAATAAGAGTGATTTGCGGCAAAACCCGCCAGTATCACACCCAACGTCAGTGCCTATACGTAAGCGTACTACAACGCGGCTCTCAATTAAAGGAGTAACAAGTGTGATACTATCACTGCTAGACTAGATCTTTGGTTCTCTCATGCAGTGGTTTATCAGAGAGGGGAAGCTCAGTAATCTCCATTGCCTGCCCATGACGCCATTCTATCGCGGCATGAGCCAGCAACGCCGACCATAAACCCACCGTCTCCAACACTCCACTAGCATGAAATTAAGCCCGCCCACCAACAGCAAGGTGCAAAAACTAGCCAAGGGGAGGGCTTTGTTCCACCACAAAATGTTCACACCATTTTCAGCAATGCCAAAAACTTCGAAACAAAAACTACTGTTCTCACTTTTTACCTGTTCAACAACTTTGAAAACGTTATTTAGGGTCATGTTTACATTCAAATCAATTTCAAAACGCTCAGGGTCTTCTAGTTTCACAGATTTGCATTCATTGGAACCAATATTGTTTTATTTGTTTACGTTTTGAGAGTTGTTGAGCAGGTAGATTGAGGTTAGAGCGATGCTACTGGTTATAACGGTTGTCAAATAATTGCAATTCAGAAACCACCATGAAGATAGTGCTATAACATGTTATAACTCTGTTGTTTGAACATACTATTATAATAACTCTCATAAAACGTATGAAACTGAAAAATGCTTTCTGACCAGATTGTGTACCTATCCATCTGAAAAAAACGCAAACTCCTCAAGTTTGGATGAGCCTTAAAGAATTTATTCTGAAAACATTTCAAATTTCAATGGGGTAGTTTTTTATCGTTGTTGTTAAATGTTTTGATGAGTACAATTATACAAAATTCGGAGTTGTATGAAAAAATCTCTGCGCAAGATGAAACCAGTTCCATTCGATTTCTGAGATTTTTTCCTGCAAGAAGGAATAATTAGATTAACTCCCACAGACAAACAGACATAACTATTAAAAGAAAAATCTTCAAAAAATATCGTCAAGCGTATTTTGCATACACTCTAGCACCATCTATCATGCCCATTCCGAAGCATTGTTTAGCAATCGAAGCATCCCTCGTTTCGCTGAAACGCTCCGGGTGCTGCCTTAACTCCCGGTGGAAGTCGATTGTACCGATAGAGACCTCGATGTGTGTGTGTATATTTTTTTAACTCTTTATTTGTTCCAAATTCAAAATAAATTACATTTCATTTTAACCTAGGTGCTCCAGTTACTACAGTAACTTACCAGCCTTAATTGTTATGATATATATCTTATTGTTTTTACATTGTTCCTGCCTTGGCAATTCAGTATTTTAAACAGGTTTTTTTTACTGAAGTAAAGAACTGTAAACAGATACGATCCAGCGAAATCTAATTTTGTGGATCGCATCTTTTTCGCTTACGTTTATTTTTTTTCGCTCATGCAGCGCTCGCGACAAGAGCAGCAGCTAAGCAAAAAGTTGACGTTTCGAGAAAGGGCGTATCTGTCAGATTTTCTCTTTACCGGAGGTGTAAACTATAGTCGCTATATTCATAGTCTGGCGGATAGAATCTCGGGAACCAATTGAGAAATCCAACTTAAACTCATGCGCGCCTGGTGACAGGAATAAGCACTAACCGACGGTGATAAGTCTGTGACAGCCCTTGACAATTTCATTGATTGTTTGCAAAATTGTTTAATTTCAATGTAACTTCATGCAAATTTCTTGTCAGCATGGATGAACCTAGTACAAAATGCATAAAATTATTTTGTAATGCATTGTTCCTAAATACAAAGCTACTTCAAGACAGTTAAATTACAGAAAACATGTTAAGGTTTGAAATCATCTGCCGATTAAACAGCAGACAAAGTTGGCCGACTAAATCCATCGACGAAAAACTAT